CGTCGAGTATGAATGAAGCACCATGTGTTCAAACTTTCAGGTAAATCATTTATCAAATACTGATAAAATTTTCCGACTTTTATAGTTATTTTTACGATTGATAAAACAGAAAAAGTAAACTCATAAATATGTAAACTATAACTAATGAAACTGACTTAGAAGTTAGCAGAATCATGTTATTGTGTGGTGTAAACCACTGTACAGTAGTCGAGCGTAAATTTCATTTTCTCAACGTATAAACTGAAATCGCTAGTTTGTGTTGCAATGATTCAACAATCGGAGAGTCACGTAATTTTCATTTAAACGTTGTGACAAGATTCTATGTCTCGATATGATCAATTTGTACTATAATTTTGAAGGATCTTTGATACAGTACCTATTGATCATTGTTCTACTTTGTAAAGTATAAAAACATATTTTTTTTCGATAAATTTGAGATTTGTATAATCTCATAAATAATGAGTCCAGTTTGGAAATCTGCTTCGCACCAAAGACTTAGCTTGTGTACCATGTAGTTGTTTTTCTTTTATTTCGATGTCTCCCATTTAAAAACTTTGTTCTTAAATTAAGTAAATAAAAAAACATTTTTAGTCAGAAAAAATTTACGTTTTCTAGACGATAATGTTCATTCGTTCAGAAATGATGAAGAAATGCTCATCAGTACAAAAAGATTTTTATTACTGGTAGTCCGAGCTTGTTAACACATTTATACATAAGACTATCTTAAAACGCTCATCTTTTCTTCTTACTAACGTTCTCATTTTAAACCGATTAATAAGACTTATCTATAGTAAATTTTAATACACTATCTTCTAATAAGTAACAGAACTTCAATTATATTCTAGATATAAATCATTTAATTGAAGTTATCATAGTTCTTAGGTGATAAGAATCAATTCAATACAATTGAGCTACTGTGAACTACAATCTAAAAGGAGTACTAAAGTATAGAGATAAAAATATAGAACCATCTTCTCCCAAAGATCGTGTAAAACACTAGCGGAAGCCCATCACAGATATTCTTGATATACTATCAAAGACTGTATATCCATAACGTCTCGTTTTAATATATGAGCAACTTCCTTATTGTATTTTTAGAGGAGTCAGTTAAAGTATGTTGCAGAAATGTGTTCCAAAATAGATAGAATAAAAGAATCTTTCTATTATTAGCAACAGTAAATACATTGTGTTTCACATTTTAATCCTGCAACAATTCCATTAGCACCTTTTCTAACGGTATTGTATGAAAATTTGAATGATATCATTGCAAACAAGAAGAATATATTTTTTTTATCTAATAGAAATATAGAATTTATGAGCAAACTATATGTCATGATAAAAAAAAAAGATGTTATTTTATAAAATAAATTTTTCATTTTTTAACTATTGTCATTTTAGACAATTATGTGACCTTGGTTTTCTCTCATTGTTGAGCTCAGAATCTAATGATAATACATCAGACACAACTCCTCTTTTTCAAAGTGATATGATTGATAATGGTTTACTTAATTTTTCACTTTTTCTTAATTATATTCTTAAACATATTGATCGATTAACTATTCGAGCTGGTAACAGAATACTTTCTTTTATGAATCTGTTTTTAAATATATATATAATTATAGTGAGCATTTTACAACGATCACATGAACTATGTTTAGATCTTTTTAATGATAGTGCCTTTGATATGGCTAGGTAACTAAAAAAATTTTTATTTATGATTAATTTTGTTTTCTTATGAATATAAAAATATTTTTATAGAGATATACTTATCACACCTAAACGCTTGAGTTATGCACGTGAAAAAGAAAAAAATCTTTATGAATCATTAGTTGCATTAACAAATTCTAAACAAAATGAAATTCAAAAATTAATTTTACAAGCTGTTGATGAAATGCATGAAGTACTAACTGATGAAGCTTGTTCACTTGAAATTCCAGGTAATTTATTTTAAATAGAAAACAAAAAAAAAAATGATAATAATAAAACTATGTTAAATATTTTTCAATTTTAGGCATTGAACTTACTGATCAATTAACTGTAAAACATGCACGAGATTTAAAAAAATGTACAAGTGTTATACAAGAACAAATTCTTGTACGATTAAATGAAACAATAGCAAATAAATTATTAGATTCAATTAATGTTTTACATGATAATTATGTTGGAACATTAACACGTTGTCTTTTTAGTTTAGAAAGTGATAGAGATGATGATGAATCAGAACTATCAGCAAGTAAAGCGCTTCAAGAGGTAACTTTTAAATTTAAATATATAAAATTTTATTTCAAACTTCATTTTTTTACTAACGATTCATATAAAGTGGTGGAAAAAAGTTTAATATATATTGTTTCAAGTTATAATGGAACCAAAAATCCATGAGACAGCTCATAAATTATGCCATTACCTCTTCACTTCATTGCATTAAGTCAATACTTTAACATATAGCGATACTTATTGTTCAGTATCACAATCGTATAGTGACCAACAAAACTTAAGAGCAGATGCATTTTTTAGTTTTCTTCTCGATAGTAGTAGCTACAAATAATCTGAAAAAAAACATTCGAGTATCTGAAAGGATCGTCTATCAGGATTGATAGACCTAAAAACTCGAATAGAACTGCTTGGATGACGATGTCTGGAAAATCAGTTTTCTGGTATCCATTTGAAGCTTTTTGGAGAAGATTTTATTAGATAGAGCAATATGCGATGTCTCATCTGGCTCGATGACGCCCCTTCGTTGAACTGCTTTCAATTTACAGAAGACTCAAGGAGCATTTTTCTTTTGTTTTTATGAAAAATTTCAATGATTTCGCCATGTGTGACGCTTTGGGACCTTCTATAAATTGGATACAGTTCAATGAAATGAAGGAAGGTCGTATCTTCAAAAAGCTTCAAATGGATGCTAGAAAACTGATTTTCAGGATATTGGTTTTCTCTAATGCTGACAGAAAATTCTTTCAGCTATTTGAATGTTTCTTTTTTCATATTCTTCCTAGCTATCACTATTGAGAAGAAAACTCAAAAATACAACTGCTCTAAACTGATGTTCATCACTATGCATCTCGGTGTTGTTTAAAGAACAATACGATGACAAAAACAATTTTTTACAGTCTCAGTTTTTCGTGATGTTTGTCCATGTACAATCACGAAGATATACGAACATAATACTGAATGTTGAAAATATTTAGCCTAACATTTTGTTCATAAATCAATACCTTAGAAAACGAACAATTATCCAAAACGAAAGTTTTCAAATCATATGAGTTTAAATCATAATTTCCTATATAGATATAGCAGCTTATGTGTTGTATCAATCGAAGTTTTCTTTTTCTTCTTTCGTTTAACGACTATGTCTGTTTAGATTCTTCATTCTGCATATGAAGTCAATCTATCATTGCCAACCAATTCAAATTTATTTCAAATATTAATTGATAAAATGAAAGAGGTTCAGTTTTAATTCGTCCGTTTTTTTATCATCGATTTTTTTTCTTTTTATAGCTTTTTCGAACATTTAGTTGGAATCATTTTCCACGTATCGATCCAGAATTCAAACGTGCTGTTGCACTTAATATATTAAATAGTCTTAGTGAAGCGAAGTATGTTTTAAAAAATTATTTTTCTTTACATTAAGGAATTAATTATACTTTTAAGATTAGCGAAAAGTGTTTGTACACAATTAAATGATCGTATACGTATGTCACATGATAGTTTTGAAACATTACTTAAACAACTTGAACATCGTCATTCGGATCGTCTTAAATCAACTGAAGATAAACAACAACGTGTACGAAAAGAATGTACACCGAAAATAGCTCGATTATTACTTGAAAGTACATCATTAAAAGATCTTATTCAATATGGTATACCAAAACAAGGACGTGAAATAGGACGTGGACAATATGGTGTTGTTTATGAATGTAAAAATTGGGCTAATCATCAATCATGTGTTTTAAAATCTGTTATGCCACCTGATGATCGACATTGGAATGATCTTGCTTTAGAATTTCATTATTTAAGGTAGATTACTATCGGCACCAGAAGTTAAGGCAATTGAATTTTTTTTGAATAACTCACGTGGAATACAAGATAATGTCATGCAGTATTAAGCTTTTCGTCTATAGCTATGGTCAGTCTGCTGAACTTTCAGTCTGTTGCAGGAGAGGTTCCAAAAATTCAACAACAGGACTTTCGCCATTGGCGAAATTCTGACTAACCTTGCAGGATATTATGAGAAAAATCGTAACAATGAATTTCAGCCTGAAATTCTTCCCAACAATAGTTCTTACAAGTTTTATGGTATTCTGATAGTTGCTGTTCAAACGGATGTTTCTCTTCTGAGATAACATGTTTGTAAAATAGATGACGTCCTCACTAGAGCTTAAAAAAAACGCAGTTTTTAGACATACAATATCTTGAGAAGAAATGTTCAGGATATCATAAAGACCATGAGAAATATGTCTGAGGAGAATTTCAGACGCCGAAACTCCTTGATGTGATTTTTCTCGTAATACCCTACTGTAGGCTGAAAATCCAGTCAAATAATCATAACTCTAGAAGAAATATCTAATGGCATGATCTCTTTCGAGATTTTTATGTACACTGTGAGTTCTATTTATGAGCAAAATATGAGCTCAAACGAAGAGTATCAGTCGGATGGGTTCTCTCATAAGCTAAAATTGACTTTTGCTCTAGTCCGGGTTTTCAGAAATTCTAGGACATCCATATTGCTCGATCAGGCGTCTTCAGAAGGATATGAAAGGATATATCATACATTGAAGTGAGTCTTATAACTATGTTAGTTGTCTAAAAGCCATATGAAACCCAATAGCAGGTCAGGAAAACGAATTGTGATTATTTCCATAAAAATTTCAAAACTTAAATTCCATCAAACTGTTTCAAAAAAACTCAAATCTACTCCATTTTATATGCAACGTATCGTCAACCACAAGAAAGACTTTAGAAATCATTAGAAAATACTTTCGTTCTTGGAAAGTTTTCCAGAAAATTTATAGATCAAAAGGATAATTTTGTTTTCTTAGTACAGAAACATCTGAAGCACATAAAATTGAATATATATTGATATTGTGAAGCATTTCGGATGAGTTTTGGCTTATGGAAATAATCAAAAATCGTTCTGCTGACCTACTGCAGGGTTTATATAGACTTTTTTTAACACTCAATCTAGTCATAAAATTTCGTAACCACCTGAAAGCTTGGAGAACTTTAGCTTAGATCTAATTCTGTGGAAGACGCTCAAACTCATATAATTACACAAAAATCAATATGTTTGTATATCAGCTCTTAGAAACTCAATGTAATTTTTTTCAAAGATCCTCTAAAAAACTAATATTTACAATTTTTTCGAAAAGACATTTTCGAGTTTTGACCCTGAATTATGAAAATTGCATAGTAATATCTTGCATTTCGCGTGAGTTATTCAAAAAGCAATTGATTGTCTTGGCTTCTGGCGTTCTTTAGTAATATATCTGGAATTATGTTTTCAATTTTTGTTGTTTCTTTTTCAAAGACGAATTCCAGAACATCCACGAATTGTTAAATTAATCGGATCAGTTATTGATTACGGTGATAATGATCAAACACCAGTTTTACTTATTATGGAAAGACTTAAACGTGATTTATATGCAGCTTTAAAAAATCGACTCGAATTTGCAATAAGGTAATTTAGAAAAATCAGAATTTGTTTTTTGTATGATAAAAAAAAGAAATTCTTTTGTAGAATGCGTATTGCTTTAGATGTTGTGGAAGGTTTAAGATATTTACATGGTTTAGGTCTTGTACATCGTGATATTAAATTAAAAAATGTCTTGGTAAGATATTTCAGAAATGTTCTTTTGCTTTTTACATAAAAACTTATTTCTTAATTTTGTCGTTTCATGAAGAACAGAAAGGAAGAAAGAGTGCTTCTGCAGTAGCTGTAGCTCTGGACAGAAAGCCAGTCTAGTGCAGAGTTCTTGCGCTCAATTGCTGAAGCTCTTCATACAAATTGACTAGCCACAAGGATAGGTGTATGTCACAACTGAGTCAGCATGATATCAAACAGGTTATCTGAGACAAACAGTCGTTAATGGTAACGAGTTTTGAACGTAAGCACTTTGTGAATACATGCTAGACAATGTAACCACTCAGCTATGAGAGTTGCCATGCAGAATAGAGTTCGGTATGATTCATGTAACTCCCAGGGTTTTAGCCAGCGTAATAACCAAGAGTGGGGGTAGCACTCCTCCGAAGATTGATGTTTGTAGCTATTGTACCTTGAAAATAGACTGTCATCCTTCGGATAGAGAAAATCTGAGTAAAACATTGACGACTTATCAGTAGATAGAAATTATTTTGTTGTAATGTTTCCTGTTAAATCTTCCGAACTGATTGCAAAGCATTTTTGAAAATTGTGTATGATCAGATATTGAATCTTGAGTATTATAATTGAATTTTATTTCGAATTATTTTCTAGTTAGATGAAAATAATCGTGCTCGTATTACTGATCTTGGTTTTTGTAAACCAGAAGTTATGATGAGTGGTTCTCTAGTTGGAAGTAAGTACAATAAATTAATTTAAAATTTTTTTTTTTTTTTCTCAATTATATTCTTAAGCTCCAATTCATATGGCACCAGAGTTATTTACATCAAAATATGATCATACAGTTGATATTTATGCATTCGGTATATTGTTTTGGTATATATGTTCAAATGGTGTTAAGTTACCAACAAATTTTGATGTTTGTTCATCAAAAGATATTCTTTGGTCAGCAGTTAAAAAAGGTGTGCGACCAGAACGCTTAATGGATTTTAGTGATGAATGTTGGATAATAATGACAAAATGTTGGGATACTCAACCATCACAAAGACCTTATTTAGGTGAAGTTCAAGAAAAAATTGAACAAATTCTTAATAATACAAGAACAACATCTGTTTGATTTCGACTCATCATTAATTTAATTATATTTTTTCTTTTGCATATTATTTCTTTTGTTCGGTAATTCATAATAAAATATATATAAAACAAGAAAAGCCAAGCGTCAGATTCATTGTCCTTTTTTCTTTGTATATACATAAATTATTTTCTTTATCTATATCATTTATTTCTTCCTTTAAAATAACAGTGAATATTCTTGTATAAATCAGCTATCATTAGATGATTATTTGTTCTTTCGATTTAACATATACCAGCTAAATCTATTTTTTTTTTTGTTGAAGAGAATCGTTCTTTGTTTGTTTGTTTTATTTTTTTCATTTATATGCATCGTTCCGCTGAACTATACAATACATAGAAATATATTTACACATATATATATATTGTTAAATTTCGGTATGATGATAAAAACAAGTTCGATGTTTTTCAGTGGATATATTATTAATAATTTTCATCAGTAGGATGATAAGAGTGAAAAATTGAGAAATTATATTTATGTTTTTTTAGATGGCAACAAGTTCAATTGAATATGAAGGATCTGATATATATTGTTCAAATATTGAATAAGCGAAAAAAAAAACATTTTTCTTATGGGATTTGAACAAATAGACCTAATTGAGAGTAGAACCAAATGTTTTTGGTACTCGGACCATCGTAATTATATATAAACGAACTAGAACTAGACAGAATACTCAAAGTACTCGTACTCAATTATCAAGCACTGTAAAAGATGACGACAGATAAGGCCACTTATCCATCTCCAGAAATATGTTACTGTTTTGTCTCGAAATCAATTCAGGGGTAACTCCTAACATCATGTCAACGGTTTGCGGCGTGGTTTCTCTTAATCTAGTGTTCAAGTCACATCCACATCTTAAAAGGTTGTGCTAGTTTTTGTTGACCTCATAGAGGGATATGAGTGTGACTTGAAAAATTGATCGAGAGGCGTTGTGAAAAAACCTTGACAATGTTATTGAGTGTCGTCACTGTATTGATTTCAATACAGAAAAAAAATGACCTTATCCGCTTTCGTCGGTTTGGATAAACTGTGTCGCATCACATGTTCCACAGTGATTTTGCTCGATAAAACTCATACTTGCTCAGCTCTGTACCGAACACGAACGTTCGAGTTGGATGTACTCGTCCTGAGTTCGATCTTGAATCCAATGATTGTCCGTTAGTTAATAAAAGGAAGTAGAACTAAACCAAAAAAGATTTCACGTTTGACTATGGTATGTCTACACACAATGAACTAAATAATCCAAAGTAGAAGGTCTGCAGACATTATTAAAGAAGTCAACAATCTTCAGAAATACTTGAACTTGAATTTCATCGAACTTCAGGCCACTTCTGTGATTACCTCGATATATCAAGAAACGCTTAGTCAATCAACCCAATACCTCGATATTGTCTGAAGTTGTTGGATACTTCCGAATATCGAGTCAGAATTCATGTTTAGAGCATGCATAAAATGAATCATCTAAGCGTTATTTATTATTGATAAACTTTGTATCAAATTGTTGAGATCAAACAAATGAGTTGCCGATTAATTATATCTTAATAGCAGATTGATAGTTTTAAATTAAAAAAAAAACGATATAAAGAATAATGGACCTGAAACTACTTTTTTGTTTGAAGGGTGAATTGAATAAAACTTTTGCATAAAATAGAAATCAGTGTAAGTATGATCTTTCGTCAAATTTGCATCGCAGTTATAATATACCTGATCAAGACCGTGACCATGAAACATTTCAAATTCACTTAAAGCCAAACTAATAAAGATTTTGAAAAACCTTTTCCTAAACACTAATGTCGTTAAAAGTGACTATAGTTCCTCATGAAGTCGATAATATTTGATAAAAATTGTGAAAATTTCGTAAAAACCTCCAATTTTCACATCATTTTGGTCTTTGTCATTGTCACGTCAATAAAGATCTTTTATTTTTTGTAGCAGATGACTTTTAAAAACGAATTATTTTTCTCTTGAGGGCCAAACATACTTTTATAATTCATCTTCTGTTGAAATCCACAGGAAAATATACATTCCTATCGTCATATTTCTCAAAAAATTCGATTCAATCAATGTTCAGAAAAAAACGATGTTTCGATCTGAGACGATCATCGGTACAAATTGTTAAATCATATTTTATTAAATAGTATTAAACAAATTATTGAATCAATAGGCTTTTATATTTTTGTGATAACTTGCAAAATATGAATAAAACAAAAGTTTAATATTCTCTCCTTATAATATCTGTACAGAATCTTTTGGGTGTGGGTGATTTCGTACTTTTGTCTGAAATTACAAAAGAAGCATTTGTTCAAAATCTTAAATTACGGTTTGATATTAGTTTTAATACAATTTCAAAATAGAATATTTTCATTTTAGTTTCGAGAAAGGACGAATTTATACATATATTGGCGAAGTTTGTTTATTTAACTTTTTTCCTTTTGTATATAGAAAAAATTTTCAATTATTAATTTAGGTACTTGTGAGTGTTAATCCTTATCGTGAATTATCTATTTATGGACATGAATATATAACAAGTTATAAAGGTTGTGAAATGTTTGAACGACCTGCGCATATATTCGCTATTGCTGAAGCAGCATATCGAACATTAAAACAACGTTCAACCAATAGTTGTATTGTCATTTCTGGTAAATATTCTCTTTTTTTGTTGTTATCATAAAGAAAAGAAGGTGTCAAAAATGAATTCCATGGACAAGCCATTTTCACAATCGGAGTCAAATTTTTAGGTTGTAAAATGCTAGTAGAACTCCCACCTGTAGCTTCGCGAAGATCACTTTTTGACTCATCCATGATAAGAACCACATAGATAAATTTGGCGACGGAAAACAAATGTCATGAAAACCACATGGGTCTACTCAGTTTTGAGTGATGATTCAGGATATCATAATAGAATCACATAGATTAGACTTTTTCTAATCGAAATCTACTAAATATCAGTCTACAAGACATAAAATCATGTCTCGACATCAGAAATAATTTTTCAGACACCTTGATTGAGAATTTAACAGAGAAGAAATTAAATTTCTTGAAACGACTGATTTCACTTCTTTCTTGATTTGCTTTCTTTTTTTTTAATGCATCAGGTGAATCTGGTTCAGGTAAAACTGAAGCATCAAAAATAATTCTTCGTTATATAGCAGCAGTAACAAATATATCAAATCAAGCTGAAATTCAAAGGTTAATAAATTATTTATTTTTTTGTTTTATATTTAATTAAAAATGATTTTAGAATTAGTAATATTCTTATTCAAACAAATGTTATTCTTGAAACATTTGGAAATAGTCGAACAAATCGTAATGATAATAGTAGTCGATTTGGTAAATATATGGATTTAAATTTTGATTATAAATTTGATCCAATTGGAGGAAAAATTCAACATTATTTACTTGAAAAATCTCGTGTTGTTAAACAACAATTAGGTGAAAGAAATTTTCATGCATTTTATCAATTATTATCAAATAAAAATTCTCGACAAAACTATGGACTTCTTCTTAAACCTGAAGATTATTATTATATTAATCAAGGTCAATGTTGTAAAATAGATAGAATAGATGATAAAAAAGATCATGAACAAGTTACGGAAGCTTTTAATACTGTTGGTTTTACACAAGATGAAATATCAACAATATGGAAAATAATTGCTAGTATTATACATCTTGTAAATTTAAGATTTTTCTTTGTTTTTGTATTCTTTTTTTTTTGTTATTTGAATTTTATTTTTCAAGGGAAATTTAACATTTACTGATGTTGATGGTGAACATTGTGCAATAGTACAAACAAATGATCAAAATGATCCATTAGAATGGATATCAAAACTTTTAGAATGTGAACAAACAGATATATCATCAGCATTAACTTTACGTGTTGTTGCAGCACGTAATGAAGTTTTTCAAGCTAGACAAAATGTAACACGTGCTTATTATGGACGAGATGCTTTAAGTAAGGTAAATAATATATATTTATATTTATTAAATATTTATACATATGAAAGAAAGAAAAAAAATCTTTTTCTTTAATTAGGCTTCTTTTTTCTTATGGGGTAAGAATAAAAATTGTATGTTTCGTTTATTAGATATTTTAGTCATAGTTGGCTTTGCACGAAAAAAAAAATTACTCGAATTTATCTTTATTGTTCTTCTTTCATTTCGCTTAATCAACTTGAATTGTAAATATTTTTTCCTTTTATCACAGATGAATAATCTACAACCGTATACATAATTAATAATAACTATTGTACCTTAAGGCAAAACAATAGACATTAGGGAGCTAATTGTCTGATTATTCGATATAACCTTATGACAGTTATGTTCAATTCTTCGCGATTAAATGTAAGCACTGCCCATGGAAAAATTTTTCAAGAAAAAACCGCGAAAGTCAGACCTTTTATGCGGTTTTTCAAAATGTGGAACAAAACCGCCGTTAACCTCAGATTACCGCGGTTTTTTTCGGAAGAATTTTTCCGTGGGTGTAAAGCTTGACATCTGATAGTCAGAACTTATTTAAGCGGATATGTGTGAAGATTTATAAATTCTAATGACTTACAATTTTTTATTCTCTTTTGTGAAATTCAAAAATATTTTCAAAAAAAATAATGAGTTTAGTATATATTGTTCCATCACAGCCGAAGACAAAGGACAGTAAGCTTCTTCCCCAGAGTTCCTAAGCAGTGAAAAAAAGCATTGAATTGTATTAACAAAAAGGCTTAGACTGTTCTAGAACATTCCAAAGTCTTCTTCGAAATTTCACCGGCCAGAATACGTTCGTGAGTATTCTACATAGTGCATTTTTTTTTATTTTTGCGCAGACAAAATGTCTATTCAAGATATCAAAGATAATAGGTAATGAGATATTGATTTACCACAGTCATCATATGATGAATTACTTTATTTATTTTGTATTAGTTTAATGAGGCTAAAGAACGCATATGAGTTCCGCATATCCGTCCCGACGGAGCTGTACTGACAAGTTTCTT